CGTACACCACCATGTCGAGCAGGAGAGGACGAGGCCGCCGACGACGACGACCGCCTGTAAATAAGCAGCGGCTGGCCTCTCTCCCGGCAGCAGGAAGTGTGGTCGCGTTGTTTGGCTTTGGCAGCAGGGGCTGCCGCCGGGGGATGGCGTGCCGTGCGGTAGAGAGGGGGGAGAGGCACCTGGTTCATTCATGAGAACGACTGCTCGGCCTCGCTGCCTCCTGCTGCCGGTGCACAATGTCATCATCCCCCCCCCCCTCCTCCTCTTACCCGCGAGCACGAATGGTTCAGGTCTAGATCACGGGGCGCAGATATCGCAAAACGCCCCGCCGCCGCCGTCGCCATGCCGCAATTGCCTCTCCGTCCGTGGGGGGTGCAATCACCCGCTGGTTACGGTCGGTGGTTTGTCCTTTCCGTGGGGGTTGACTGACTTGTCGTGCTGCTGATCACAGGCTGACGCGGTGTTTTGTGTGTTCCGTTGTTTCAGGTGATGGAGTTCACCCCCCACCCTGAATGGTGACCGGGGGTAACATGCCCGCGGCCAGGGTGCACAGCCTGCCCAGCCAAGTCGTACCGTCAGGTCAGAAGCCTTTTCTTTTCCTCGCTCTTGCTTGTCATCGCTTGTCTGGGGATATAATTTATTCATCCTTCGTCGCTGAGGACGAGAATGCGGGTGGGTTTGCGCCGACGCCCACCGTGTATACCAACCACCATGCTACGAGGGTTCCCTCTTAGCGCAGATCACCGCGCCCCCCGCCGCCCCCACACCGCCGTGACAGCTGAACTACCGCGTGTTGTCTCATGGGGCCGGGGGCAGGTAAGTGCTGCCCGGGGGCGGCTGCTGCTGCTACTGCTGCTGCTGCTCGGAGCCGGGGGGATTGACGTCACGCCCCCAGTGGATGGAGGCAGCCGATAGTAACGCCGGCCCCGCAGCTCCTCCTGCGCGCAGCCATGAGGGGGGGGGGGAGTCGGTGATGAATACCGTCCAATTGCGCCTAGGGGCCCATAGCCCTAACGCTCCCGGGATGGGCGGAGGAGGGAGAGGCGTACTCACGCTCTAACGCCCCCATGCACGCTCTCACACACTCCGATGTTGTGGTCCGATGTTGTGGTGGTCCGTGCCACCGTGCCGCCCACGCCCACACAACCTGCACCGGGGACCACCGGGGACCACTCTGCAAATTAAAGCCCCTTGTTCGCGGTGTTGAATTAGCGCACATTTCCTGGCGCCTGACACAGAACATACACGTCTTCTTCTTCTTCTTCTTCTTCTTCTTCTTCTTCTTCTTCTTCTTCTTCTTCTTCTTCTTCTTCTTCTTCTTCTTCTTCTTCTTCTTCTTCTTTTCTTCTTCCCCTTATTCTTCTTCCCCTTATTCTTCTTCCCCT